TAATTAGCTTAATTCTATATTCCTTNATTTTGAGAAATCACTTGTTTTCTATTACGATACCTAGCTTGCTCCTCTAAGGGGACGTTTGCAGCAATATGTGTACCATCTATTGTCCCTACAACATCTTTAAAAAGAATACTTTTCAAAATATTATAATATTGAACTTCTAAGAAATATAATGAAATAACTACAATCCCCTAACCTGAAAAAAGGAGTACCATGGCTTCACATTTTCCTTCTCATATGGTGAGTTATGAATAGTGACATTAATCACAACATCTCTATACAGTCCAAGACAAGAGTGTAATACCCTATGGAAGTAAAAACTCACAGTTTGACTAGATCGAAAGAAAGTGAAACGTCCAGCTCGATTACGTTGGTCATGCCCAACGGTCAGAAAAATAACCATTTGTTCCTCAATTCGAACATATTTACTATCAACCAATCCATAAGTTCTCAAACGAGCACATAATCTTTGAAACAGACCTATTTTCATCCTAAGTAGATCACGGCATGTTGTATCATACATACAAAACATTCTTGTAAGTGTCATTTCTCTTTCAGAATCTCAATTTGTATGAGGAGCCTTAGGGAGATGCCGTTCATGACGGCTAATATAATTATATATCACAATTTCTTGCATCACTATCGTCCAAAATAAACCTAAATGCTCTCGTTGGAGACGACGTTGATTCCTTGTTGTAGCCATGTTACACACTACCACGATAAATAAAAATTCAATAAAATGAACATATAAATTACATATTATGATTATATAAATAAATAATAAATTTAATCATTCGGTCACAATTTACATTATAAGTATACAATTTCAACAAGCACCTACCAAATTCGAACAAACAACCACAATATGTTTCTCCAGTAGAGCTCCAACAAATAATGTTAATAGCTGCAAAATGGTAATAGTAATAAGCAATATGTAAATAACCTAATATTGTGGATGACATTTTATTTTCTAACAAAATATGGATAAAAATCGTCAAGACGCTACAAAACTAAAAGGTGAGTTCTGTTCTTATAGCTGGCATTTCTTTTTCTGCTCTTCTATAAACCTACTAAATTAAGTTGAGCACTTGATTTTGTAGGTATATTTTGGACAAAACATGGTTTGTATTGATTCCCTAACTCAAGGAAAGAAGAAGAGCATTAAAGTGGGAGATCCTGTTCACGTGTTCAAAATGGTGTCTTCACCTGCAGATGCACCAGCGTGAGATCTTTATTAGTATCATTTGTGATTTTCTGTTGCATGGTTAAATAAACAAGTTTGTTGTGAACTTGTAATATACAAAGCTATTCATCATGTATCTTCCATGTGGTCGAACTACAAATTTGAATAAATGGGTTCTCATTCTAATAGTTTAAGCTTTTAGTTTAGCAGATTCTATATGGTATCAAGCCAACAAAAACCCAGAGTTCAAGTCTCGTTGCCAATTTTGCACAAAAATAGAAAATATATAACTAAATTTGACCTGCACACAAGGGGGAGTATTGAAGATTGCATCTAAATATAAATTAGCTTTCATCTGCCTAATGGATTGAAACAAAATGCTATAAGAGCCAATGGGAAAACTAACTTTTATGTACGAGGCGTATCTAAGAAGATGCAAGTTTATCTTTAACAAAGAATTGAAATAGAAAAACCATTCGATAAATTTTCAAAGCAAAAGAACAATAAACTCAAGCTCCTCGATTCTATCACTACCCGATTGAAATCAGTTTGAAATTGTCTGAATTATCTTTCACCAATAAAAGATGTTGATTAAAAGCTAACATTCAAGCTCAGAGCAAAAGGAATCAAATAATATAATACAATTCAGCCGCAGGACTCGTGCCTAATTGAATTGCAAAAGCGCACATCGGTAAACTCATGGAGTCCAAACATCTCAATCTCACATATTCAAAAAACCAAATACTTAGAAGATAAAGACTATTTAAATCAAGATTGAAAGTTCTGACTAATCAACTAATAGAATTTCAAAAATAATTATAATCCAAAATCTAAAAAATTTCCAATTGAAACAATAATTATAAGCACAAAATGCGTGGAATGAGGCATTCGTAGAATTATTCACCTCATCGAAGATCTCGTCGGTGGAGAGTAGAACCCGAATAATACAGAGCCATTGATTGGAGAGGGCATAAGAATAGAATTAAACCTTTTTTTTGAGTTTTTTACGGTATAGATTTTTGGTTTCTTCTTCCTGGTTTTGTTGTGTGATTAGAGGAGAAAGGGTAAGGATTTTGTACGTGGGTTGAGATGAGAGAGATAGGGGAACATTTGTTGGTAGAAACGTTGATAAACTAGAATTTTTGAAAAGATTAAATTTTATGGAAAATAAAATCCTACTCCTCCCAAAGAAAATATTTTCCTTGAAAACAAGGAAAATATGGTCACGTGACCAAAAATAGGAAAACTTTTCCATGAAAAAAATTAGCAATCAAACAGTACAAAAGTATGAATTTTGGTGGAAAACCGACCTTTTCATGGAAAATATTGGCAATCAAACACACCCTAAAAGGGTGTTAGTTGGAAATGGTGATTGTGGTGGTGATGGCAACGATAGTGGAAGCGGTGACGACAATGATGAAGTGATGACGGTTTGTGGGGGTATTGGCGATTTTGGATCTGATTTGTTGGTGGTGACGTGATGGTGGTGGTGCTGGTTGTTGTGGTGAAGTGACGGTTCTGATGAATTGATGGTTGTGGAGGTGTTGGAAGCACTGACAGTTGTGGTGACTGCAGCGACTATGGTCACAAATTATTTTGTTGATTGTGACCAATAAATTAGTTAATGAGCGACAAATAAATAATATTTGACCAATGAAATAGATAATTTGTGATTAATAAATAATGTGTGACCTAAAAAATTGTTAAGTTGTAATCAATAATTTGATAAGTTGTGATCGAAAAATAATTTATGATTAATTAATTAAATATTTTGTGACCATGAAATAAGTTATGATTTGTAACTAATGAATAATATGTGATCTATTAATTTGATAAATTTGTGATCAATGAATAAATTGTGACATATAAAATTTTTGATATGTAATGTGACCTATAAATTTTTTTATTATGATCGAGAAATAATTTGTTACAAATTAATTCGATAATTTGTGATCAAATTATATAGAATTGTGACATTAATGTATTTATAAAATAAAATATTTTTTAATTAATTATTTTATAAATAAAATTTAATAAAATCTAATTTTCGAAGTTTTAAATTTTATTTTTTAATTTTAGAATGTGTCTCTTATATATGAATTTTTTCGTTTTTAACTCTCAAAATTATTTGGATGTCCTAAATAAGATGCTCTTTATCCTACGTAAATAAAAGAGTCACTTTTGTTTTATTGTTCATAAGCCGAGCCAAGCCAAATGACTTGACGACTCGGCTCGACTAAATCTTTTTTTTTTTTTAACGTTTGATTCAGTATAATGACTTGACGGCTCGGCTCGGTCAAGCAGTTTTTGGTTTTTTTTTCGTTTGATTCAGTATTTTAAGTTATAATTATTCGTTTTAAGCGATTTAAAATTTGTTGGAAATGTTGAAATGCGGCCATGATAAATATATGATCGATAAATTTTAAATATCAAAATTAATTTTACATTAATTGTGAAACGTAAAGTCGTGATTGTTTATATTTCTTTTCAATCCCAATCCCATTCCAATGTCTTTTTTTCGAACTTTATTTTCATACAATTTTTCGTTTGATTCAATATTTCATGATATGAATATCTATTTAGATCGATTTAAATTTTTTTTAAAAAAATTAAATAGTGGCAATAATAAATATATTGTCGATTAAGTTTAAATATAAAAAGTATCTTAAATTATTAAACGTAAAATCATAATCGTTAATTTTTCTTTTCCACCCCACCCCACTCTCAACCCCCATACTCATACCAATTTTTCTCAATTTCATTTTTCTTCAATTTTTACGGTTAAAAAGGGTAAATTTATGGCGTTAAAATGGATATTGAAGGAATTCAATGATTTCAAAAGAATTCTCCTACATCATGCAGTGCTGCTAGACAAACATTTTCTATGAAGTTGATTATTTTGGTTTTTTTAAATGGATTTAATGTACAATATCGTTAGAACATGTTGAAAAGATATTCGACGGAATTTATGAAGTTAGGTGATCGTTTGTCATTCTTTTTGTCTCTATGATGGAAGTTTTCGTTGTGTTATGATTTTAATACTAATAGAGACCCTTAATTTGTCCTAAATTCTACACTGTATTATCATTAATTAATTAGTCTTGACTACATACATCTTGCATAGGGTCTTGATAAAGAAATTAAATACTGATGCAACTGATACATGTAATTGGAGATTCTATGAGTACGAGATGAATGAGACATAATGTCTTACCTCAATAGGTAGAAACATGAGGGTTATGTTGAATTTCATTATCTCTTTAGTAGGGTATCATCACTTATTTATCTATGCCTTATTTTTTTTAAAAGAACAGAGAGACCTTCAAACACAAAGTTTAGAAAATAAGATTTGAATCAAATCTCATAATATTATTTTTGTCACCTATCATCATTTCAACTATTTTTAGTTTAATATAACTAATGCTTAAGATAAATAATTTTTTTTTTATATTAACGTTATCGTATATCCAACTGTGCTATATCACGTGCTAGTAAGAGTCCGTTTGGTACACATTAAAATGAGAGAATGCATTTTTTTGAAGTGATGTGATGGAGAATGTGTGGTTGAAAAAGAAGGAAAAGTTATTAATGTGATGTAAAATATTATTTTATTAAAGAATGTGTGATTGAAAATAAGTAGAAGACTGAAAGTGAAAAAAATAATGTGCCATAAATAGGGCTAAATTTATAAATAGAGAGTTTTGGAAGATGGCTGCAACTGCAAATACCAATTTAGTTGATATTTAGGAAAGAAAAATATTGGCGTCATCAATCGTCAGTGGAAACTGATCAGTTCAAGGAAGGGGTAGAAATGAGCTTCCAAGATCTCCAGAATTCCGGCAAGCGATCTTCCCGGTCAGCTCCTCCTCCGTCGCAAGCGGTGGCAGCCTCTATATTCCAGATCAACACCGCCGTTGCCGGTTTCCGTCGACTTGTGGATTCCATCGGAACCTCCAAGGACACTCCTGATAACCGTCTCAACCTGTCCGTAATTATTAGTATTGCTTTCCAATATTATTATTATTTTTTTTCTCATTCTGCTGGTTTTTTCCTTTAAAATTGCTATGAATTAAAAGCAATTAGCTAGTCGAAAGACCTCCAGCAACTTTTATTTTTCCCCAATTTCAAAATTTCAAGTTTTTGTCATCAATAGATGCTGGATGTGTCATGAATTTTTAATTCGTAAGATTTTTGGAAAAAGCTTGTTTTGTGGCTAATGGATACTTGGAGATTTCATCTATGCCCCCGTTTGGATAGAAATTATAATCTAGATTTTTATCAAAGTCAAATTCAATAATTAATTTTAACCAATATTTTATGGTAGTCACAACTTTTCAATCACACCTTTAATTAACTTTTATAAAAATCAGCTAAAAGTCTGATTTAATCTCCACCAAATAGGAGCTATATATATACCCTGTAACTTGTCATTCATAAAGCAAATGAAGAAACATTCTGAAGTTCTATAAAATACAAATTCATGTAGTTGGTTTACTAAATTCATTTAGGTCTGAGACCATTGAGTTGTAACTAGCCTTACCAGGTAACCTTTTTATTATACTATGTCACATATCTTCGTTCAAAGACTAGAAAACATGGAAATAGAGAGTTTCAAATTATACCTCTTCGATGGCTTGCAATGTTTTAATCTGGGGGTTTAAGCAATTAGTTTTGCTTCTACTGTTTTTCTTGTAATTAAATTCTTTTAATTCATCCCAAAGTGCCGATTTATTAGAAACAAAACAGTGTGCAAAGTGAATAGCGTCCTTTGCTATATACTCCATTACCATGTATTTCCTACATCTTCATAATTATCATTTTGTATTTTTGTGGAAATAAATGGAGACAGGAACAACACAAGACAAAGAATATTGAGTTTAGTGAAGGAGACCTCTGCAAAGCTCAAAGCTCTCAGTGAATTTGACCGTGGCATTAACGTCGATGTAGGCTGATTTTTCCCAGTAACTTGATATTACTTTATATTAAATTTAACTCTCAAAAATTCCATCCTCACCCCACAACCAACACACTGACTTACTGACTTATTTATTCATAATAGATATGTACTGTAAATTGCAAGCTTCATGTTAATCTCTTGATGTTCAGCTTTCTTTCTGTTTACAATTTAATTTGCATATACATTCCTGACCCCACTGGTATTCTCCGTCCAATTTGTTATCCAAGCCTTTCCATTTCTGTGCAAGTGCAGCAATTGCTTCTTTCAGCTTTTTCTCTGAATTATGAACATTCTAGTGTAACAACACTGCAACACAACATTTCTCCTTTTTCGCCTCTTTTATTTTTTTATGTCTTTGCTTCTGACATTAAATTTTGAAGTTGATTGAATTTTGCAGTCTAATTAGAAAGTGATACTTGAGTATGATATCGACTTTGGAGGTAAAAACATTTCCATGAACGAGTATAGTGTAATCTAGTGCTCCTTACGTCTTTAATATTATTGAAGCGAGAGTGAATCCTTTATCTATGTTTTACCTTCAACTAAGTTTATGAACTTTAAAATATGTGACTCCACTTCAAAATCCATATCAACTCACCAAAACTCTATCCTGCATGAAGACGGTATAATTGTTTTGCTTAATCTGGAGATACTAATAAATTAAGCCTTATGATCAAAAAATTTGGGATTGATTACAAGAAACCTTTCTTGCCATTTACGCCTACCAAAAAATCCAGTGAAATCAAATCTTTTGCAACATATAATACCATGTTAATTTCGTTTCTCTCTTCATCTTCTAACATATTCTGCTGGGACATTCTTGCCAATTAGTACTTCCTTGGCCTGTGCACGATTTGTTCCAACTACTTTGGTTGTCTTTCCTTTGATTTACTTAGTGAGTACCAAACCCACTCCAACTCAGGTAGCTTAGTTTGAGTTGTGTTTCCACAGAAGATTTTTCGGGTAGGACATCAATGGTTCACACAAAAATACTTCAGTAGCTACTAGTTCATGTTGAAGTTTAAAGCCAATCTTTAGAGAAAGGCCTTTATAACCAACACTACTTGTGGATGTTTATCCAGCCAAGTAAGAAAATAGAAGATGCCAAGCTTGCTAGAGATTTTCAAACTGTCTTGCAAGAGTTCCAAAAGGTGCAGCAGCTTGCCTCTGAGCGAGAGTCGGCATTCTCTCCTTCTGCTCCTCCATCTTATGTGCCAGCAATGTAAGAGCTTTTTTTTTCTACCTTGGTATGTCAAGTTACATACAAAACTCAGCAATTTTAATTAAATGGGTGTCTTAATTGGAATCCTGCGCTCTTGAGAACAGGCATAGCTCTGGTCAATATGCAGCACCCAGTGCTGAACAGGAGAACCAGCCGTTTCTTATGGAACAGAAAAGGTAAGCAGGTTTTATGAGAACTGTTTTTACAATTTTCAAATGATTCAAATTATGTTTTCCAAAAAACCGATATTTAGTTATATATTTTGTCTTACATAAAGCTGAAATTAATTTTTCATGAATGTTGAAGGACTTAGTTATAATTCTCGATGCCCATATAAATCAGAACTTTGAGAAAATTCTTAGCAGGCATCTTCCCTTTCTGTAACTCAATACTAAATGGGAATGTGGATGTGCCGAAATGGAACCTCAAAAATATAACTCCTGAAATCAACTCTGTGGTGGCAAAGATTGACTTTTTAAACTTTGGAAACTGGGCTCATATGACACCAGCTAAGAAATTTTAGATCTTGTGATGAGTACATTCTGCTTTTCCTCAAAAACATATTACATTTCAGGCAGGAGGTCCTTCTATTAGGAAACGAAATTGCCTTCAACGAGGCTATAATTGAGGAAAGAGATCAGGGAATCAGGGAGATACAGGATCAAATTGGTGAAGCAAGTGAAATATTTAAAGATCTTGCTGTTCTAGTACATGACCAGGGTGTGGTTATCGGTAAAATATCAGACACCTGCTAGACACTTTTATTTCTACAGATGACATACAACTTCATACAATACCATTATTATATATGTTTTGGCAGATGACATTCATTCAAATATCGATGCATCTACTGCCGCAACAACCCAAGCTAGAGTGCAGCTCTCAAAGGCGTCCAAAAGTGGAAAATCTAAATCTTCATGGGTGAGTGGAAACTATACTAGCAAGCTTCAAGCTGAACAGGGCAGTTGTCTGTAAGCCCATTCATGAATATATTTCATTAATCTGAAAATATTAAAATGGTATATTTTTCTGTATTAATTCATTGTCTCTTGCATTCATTTCTCCCAAAGCAACCTATTGGAAGAGAGAAATTCGGAATGCCAAAAACAGGGCCTTGAAAGAAAAGCGTATAAAGTTTCGGGAGAATCTTACCTGCTTGCAATACACGGATGAGTTTATGTGTGCATTCATGTGAGAGAGCGTGTGAGTGTGTTTTTGTTTTGGGGGGGTTGGGGGAGGGGGATGGATATGTATTTGTACTGGTGGATAAGCAAATTATTTGAAGAAATACTAGAAGTTAATTCTAATTTTTTTTGAAAAAAAGGCTCAAGGAAAAAGGTTTGTTTTGGGTGCCACATTGTCTTGATTATATAGGTAATCCATTTGGGGTAGATTTCTCTTTTCTACCTTGCTCTCGTTTTTTAAGAAAGCAGGAGAAAGAGAAGGATTATTTTGGCGTTGAATAGAACTTGGACGAGAATGCCAACATAGCAAACCGTAAAATTTATTTCTTAGTGAGTACTAAACAAAATATCCACACTGGTTCCAAATATACACTTATAATAAGTAATAAATAATCTGATGCAAAGTTCTTATAGTCATGCATGCACCCAATTTGTATTGCTTCCATGGATGATGTTTTTTTTGTTCATATGTTTCTCATAACAGTGCTGGTGGGTGTTGGCACTTGTCGTGGTGGTGCTGGTAATATTACTCCTCGTCCTAATTTTATAGCTGCAAGTACACCTGTGGCTTTGGCGTGTTTGTTTCAAAAATGGTGGCGGTTGGAGTTTAAGCAGCAGTTGAATTAGTTGAGTATGCTTTCATTCCACAATGCATTGTGCAGTGTTTTCTTCTTTTGGGTGATTTTGCTTGGTTTTTCTGTTGATTCTCAATTGATAAGTTGTTTTAATTGAAGTTTTATACGTTGAAATTTGGCAATTTCATTGTTATATGTGGTTTTGACGGAAGATTCCTTCTTTTGCTTGCCATATAAAAAAGTGGACGACATAGTACTTCTAGATAGTATTAAAGCAGAATATGCCATCATATGTTATTTACCACAGTAATTTAATCAGCGTAAATCATATTTATGATATTTATGACTTTGTTTTTTTGGTTGTGGTGACCTGGTATATATCTTCTGTTTGTTACATGGAAATGTATCAATTTTTGAGCTCGATATAATACCTACCCTCTTAGTATGTATGTTGTGTGAGATGGACCCAAAGAACTCAATACCGAATACACCTTTTATTTCTTTTAAAGTGACAATCTTTTCTTTAGTAACCGACGAATTGAATTGGTCAATTTCATCTTCTTTTTTGAGGTAGATAGTCCTTGCATCACAATTACTGATTTACCCCCTAATTCAGTCTCATTCCTGCTAAGTCTTCAAAATTTAACATGCACTAAAATGTTTCAAAATGTACAAAGATTCATGAAGTACCATAACTTGTAAAAATGTATAAAAATGAGCGAATTGTACCAAGAGGCTCCAAAGTGATTCAAAATGTGTAAAATGTACCAAAAATAGCGCGTGAAATGTGCCACAATGCTTCAAAATATTTCAAAATGTGAAATATTCTGTAACTTGCGAACCAAATGCATAAATGTACCAAAACGAGTCAAAATGCACCACACGTACTAAAATACATCATAATGTGATAAAATGTACAAAAAAAAAAAAGTCCAAAATGTGTGAAAACGCGGTAAATTGTATCAAAATGAGTCAAATGTTCCAAAACACTGAAAAATGTACAAAATGCGGAAATGTACCAAAAATAGCGAAATGTACCAAAATGTAATATACTGTGCAAATGTATTGTAACTTTCCAAAATGGATCAAAATACTCAAAATGTACTAAAACACGTCAAAATGTATCATTAATGGGCTAAAATGCATCAAAATGTGCTATAATGTAACAAAACGTGTTAAAATGTACCAAAATGTACAAAAATGTGTCGAAATTTACCAAAATGCTCATAATTTCAAACTCGTCAACATATATCAAAATATGTGAAATGGTTAAAATTGTTTACAGTGAGAACTGTTCCATAATTTGTTGAAAAAATATAAAAATGCGCAAAATATACAAGAAGTGTCAAAATGTACGACAATGCACCAAAATTTATCATAAAGTTTCAAATTGTATCGAAAACCACGAAATGCACCATAATGTGCAAGCATATCAAAACGTTACAAAATGTACAAAATTTGCCAAACGTACTGAAATTCACAAAATGTACAAAAACACTAAAAACGTATTCCATGTGCAAAATGCCATAACTTAACCAAGAATGTATCCAAGTATGCGAAATGTATCAAGATGTGTCAAAATGTACTATTACAATGCACAAAAATTCGCCGAATTTGTGAAAATGCAAAAATATGTATCAAAATTAGTGAAATGTACCAAAATCAGAAAAATATATCGAAATGCACCAAAACGTACTAAAATGCGCGAAATGTACAAAAATGCTCCAAAAGTACCAAACTATGTGAAATATAATATAATTTCTCAAAATGTACTAAAATATACGAAATATACCAAACCACATCAAAATGTACCTAAATGATTGAAATTTACCAAAACATTCCATAACGTGTCAGAACTCGTCAAAATATACAAAAAAAAAAAAAAAAAAAA